CAGTAAATTTATAAAAGGTGAAAGGACCTCAGGAGAGATGGGCTGAGTAGAGAGGGGAAAGAAGTGTGTGTCCCATCTGACTAGAGAGAAGATCCCAAAAGGGAGGTGGGAGTGCGCTGAGGTGGGAAAGGTGGACTGCAGTTTGGAGAGGCCCTGGATGCCCACCCTCAGACTGGATGCTAGGATGAGAGAGACAGCCTCAGGGGTCTCAGTAGAGTCCCCAGCTGTCCTTATTCTCTTCATTAATAGTTCTCCAGCCAAAACCAGTTTGGCTCAGTGGATAGAGCATCGGCCTGTGGACTGAAAGGTTCCAGGTTCTATTCCGGTCAAGGGCATGTACCTTAGTTGCGGGCACATCCCCAGTAGGGAGTGTGCAAGAGGCAGCTGATTGATGTCTCTCTCTCTCAACGATGTTTCTAACTCTCTATCCCTCTCTCTTCCTCTCTGTAAAAAATCAATAAAAAATATATTTAAAAAATAAAAACAAAAATAAATAGTTCTCCTACTTGTGCAAAGGAGCCTTTATAAGTCTCTTTTCATTTTGTCTGTAAGTTATCAAGTCAATACTTGCTGATAGCCCAAAGCTGGAAGCCACCCAGATGTCCATCAACCAGAGAGTAGTTAAACACACTGAGGTATATTTACTAGTTTGTTTTATGACAAGAAATAAGCTATTGCTGCGATGAAAACCATGAGAGACTCTTTAAGAGAATCCAGGCATAAAAGAGTGAACAGCATTCATTTGAAGTTTCTAGGGCAGGCTGAGCCAGCCTATGGGAGAGCTGCTTAGAGTAGTGACCACTCCTGGCTGAGGCAGAGGGCACATGAGAATTTTCCGGGTGGGGGTTGGGCAGGATGGAAGTGTTGGAAATCATGAATATAGTTTGGGTTACATGGGTGTATGCATTTCTCATAATTCATTGAATGGTGAAGTTATGATTTGTGAATTTCAAAGTGGAAAAAGACCCATGAACTACAATTGACCCCTATTTAACACGTACCAGATGCCAGTTGAAGTGGTTAGGAGTGAAGTGTACTAGCATCTGCAGCTTACGTTGTAGTTCATTAAAAAATAAGGTAGTATCTTTCAACTTGATTGAATGATCGAAAACTTTCATAATAAAATGCTGAGCAACAACCACAAAAAAGCTATACCTGGAATAAACCAGTGGGGCCAGGAGACAGGGAATGCTGGGCAGGGATTGCATTGTTTCTGGAACATCAGGACTGGTGCCCAGGGCCTGTCTGCTGCCAATCTCCCTCTGACCAGTCCACCCTGCCCCATGGAAATGATGGCCCATTTGTAAATCACAATCAAGATGCTATCTGGAAAGTACCCATTATCCAGTCACTGATTACGCATTAAGCACATGGTCTGTGTTCAGCCCTGTGGCAGGTGGAGGATAGTCAGACATGGTCCCCACCCTCCTTGTGTGTCATCTCCGCCATGGAGCTGCCAGGGGTCCCAGGGAAGTGGGCCCAGGCAGTTCCTATGTGAGTGAAGGATAATGGCCCACCCTTACCGAGAATTTATTCTATGCCAGATTCTGTTCAAGCTTAATCTGGATTAATTCCATCAATCCTGCAACCGCCCCATAAGGTGGAAACTGTGTTGTCCCATTTTACACATTAGAAATCTGAGGCTTGAAAAAGTCACGTGCAACACATGAGTGACTGACTGGGCAGGGACTCAGACACCAGGACGCTGGGACTGCTGCCCATGGCCTGAGCTAGGGGTCTGCAGACTATTTCCAGAAAGGGACAGAGAGGAAATATTTTAAGGCCATGAGCGGTGCAATCTCTGCCCAACTCCTGGAGTCTGCCATTGTAGCATGAAAGCAGCTGTAAACAGTATATACTAGTAAATGATGAGCTGAGAGCCAATAAAATGTTATTTATAAAAATGGGCAATGGGCCAGATTTGGCCCATGGGTCGTAGTTTGCCAACTTCTGCCTCAAACTACCAACAACTTCCAGTGGCTGGGAGGCTTTTGAGTTGGACCAGAGGCAACTGAAGGAAACCTGATTCCTGACGGTCACCTCCCTGAGGAAGTGTGAGCGTCAGATAGAAAGGACTCAATACCGGGTTTAGGAGCCTGGGTCTCTAATTAAGAATGACAAACAATACAACCCTGGGCAGCTCTTTACCAAAGGAAGCTGCAGAGAAACAGTGGAGAATACTCCAAAACCACACAAGAGTTGGTTGTATTTGGTCTTGAGAGCCATGTTTAGAATGTTAGCAGCACTGACTTCATGTGAATGTAGAAAACGTCAAGGTCAAAAGCCGTGCTTGAATGTGATTCATTTTGAAAATGCTTTGCCAAAGAATTTTCTGCTCTTGGCTTTGGTGTCACTGGCTCTGGGTTTCTAAGGGCAGGAAATCATTTTACTCAACTCCTGTTGCTGACAAGAATTCGACCCTGGAGCTCAGAGGGTGCCATGGGCTGGAAGTGGATTGACTCCATACTTAGAAGAATCCATGTGCTGCTAAAGGAGTTTCTGAGTGTGTGTTCAGTTTCCGGGTGGACCCAAGGACCCTGTGACAGAAGACAGCGCTGGTGGGCTGTTCCTCACTCCACGTGGAGCCACCTTCTTGCTCTGAACCTCCCTTCTTTCTCTCCCCCCCCCCCCCCCCACTTTTGATACTGACCAGGGTACATGTGGGATTGTCAGAGTCAGTGTGGACAGACTACTTTGGGGCAGAGGCCCTCTTTCAGCACAGCATTTGTTATGTGCTCCTGCTGAGTAGCCTATTCATTCCATCACAGCTGATGGAAAGAGGAAACTAACCACAGTCTGGCTGAGGGTCTGCTGGAAGTTCAGCCACCAGCTGGCCTGTGGTGGCTGATTCCTCATTTTTCCACCCTGAATTCACTGGGTCCACCCATTGCTCTAGTGTCACAGAGATTAAGATCTGAGTCCTTGATTCTTAGGAAGGCATTTGATGGCTGGGGCCGAGCAGATGGTTAGCTCACACAGACTGTTCAGGCAGGGGAGAGAGCCGGTCCATTCCCTCTGTGAACGTCCCTTAGGGAGATGCTCACGGGTCCTCACAGAAAGGCCCAGTTGGGGTAGCTCAGTGGTTGAACATCCACTTATGTACCAGGAGGTCACAGTTCCATTCCTAGTCAGGACACATGCCTGAGTTGCAGGCTTGATCCCCAGTAGGGGGCATGCAGGAGGCAGCTAATCAATGATTATCTCTCATTGATTGTTTCTATCTCCCTCTTTCTTCCTCTCTGACATAAAAAGAAATAAAAAAAGAAAGGGTTGGCTGTTTAGGGCATGAGGATGTAGTGTCCTATCACCAAAGACGAACCAATCATGAACCAAGCAAACCCATTTACGGAGTCATCCCCTTATTCCCATACTAGACCGCAGGGCTGAACTGGTAAAAGGGTGGAAAGAGGTAACCTTGAACTTTGTCCAAAAGACCCCAAACCACTCCTCCTAATAATCCCCACTTTATCCTCTAATTTACATCAACCTGCCTCACTTTTCTTTCTGTGAACACAGGTGAGCCTTTGTCTCCCAGCAGGACAATGTACCTTGTGGGGAGGAGGGAGGCTGTGGTCCCTAAACCTGGATACATACAAGACTTCCCAAGGGAACTGGTGAAAAAATGAATGTCCAAGTCCCATCCCCAGAAGCAAATTTAGCCTCGATATTTTCTGTAAGTCATTGGTTCTTAAGTCCCTGCAGGGCTTGTTAAAGCACAGATCGGTGTGCCCCACCCTCCTAGTTTCTGATATAGGAGGTCAGCTGGGGCCCAGGATCCTACATTTCTAACCAGCCCCCAGGTGTGCGGCTGGTCCAGGGAGCACCCCGGGAGCACAGCTGCGGTAAGACATGCCTCCAGTTTCAGGGCAGCGACCTCATGATCTAGGTCAGTGGTCAGCAAACTCATTAGTCAGCAGAGCCAAATATCAACAGTACAACGATTGAAATTTCTTTTGAGAGCCAATTTTTTTTAACTTAAACTTCTTCTAACACCACTTCTTCAAAATAGACTCGCCCAGGCCGTGGTATTTTGTGGAAGAGCCACACTCAAGGGGCCAAAGAGCCGCAGTTTGCCGACCACTGACGTAGGTCAGAGCAGGAAGGCATGCTCTCTACACCCTGGAAGAAAAGCTAGGATCTTTGTTGGCTGGGTTGGCCCTTTAATATTCTCTACCTACTCTGCCCAATGCTACAGCCGTTAGTCCCATGTGGCTCTTTAGATGGAAATTTAAATTTATTCAAGGTAAATTTAAATGTTTTGTTCTTCGGTTTCATGAGCTCCTTTGCAAGTAAGTGCTCACAGCCACACGCTCCTGACAGCTGCTAGGCGAGACAGCACAGATGCAGGACGTTTTGTCTTTGCAGAAAGTTCTCCTGGACAGCGCTGTTCTATAAGCATTCCAAAAATTGCTGCTTTCTTTTTCTTCAAGGTTTGGCTGTTAGCCCCATTTTTTTTTTTTTTTTTTTTTTTTTTTTGGCTGTGAAAAAGAAACCAAACAAAATCCTTTTTTATGTTAACTCTTTCCTCTTTGCTTGCTCTAGATAGCAGGCCTCACCCATCTCTTCATATCAAATTGAGGTGAAGGTCATAGACATTTTAATGCAAAAGAGATAAAAACTTTAGTAGTTTTTGTTTGTTTGTTTGTTTTCAAACCATTGCTCCCATCACCCATGTTAAGAAACTCCTGGAGGTGCAGTCCACAGGGAAGCCTTGTGGGCGACAAGTATCAGGCAACACACATGGAGAATTGGGGCAGTCCAACCACCGTCGCTGGAGGGAAGTATGGGACCAGGCTGAGAGTGGACCAGACAAGGCGTTCTCTGGGTGTTTTAGAAAAGTTCACGTTCTCCCCCACAAGCTGTAGAGGATGGCTGGGGAGGCCTCCTTTTGTTTCGCCCCCTATAGGAGAAAACTGGACTCACTCAGAGATGCCTGAGTGCCCCACGTGTAAACACGTAACTTCTCAGAGAGCTAATTCTGTCTCATTCTTTTGTTACAGATTCGGCTGAACAGCAGGGGACTGATCTACTCCGTGGGCTTGCTCCTGGCCTCCGTCTTTGTCACAGTAGGTTTGCAGTTCTCTCCTCACTTTGAGCTCCTGTGTTTTCCCTCCTCCGCCCCCACCCCCTGCAGTTCTTTGGCAACAGAGTTTGTTTGGACACCAGATGGGCTGGGCCTCCTGGTGGATCAGGACAATCAGCCTCCAGATGTTCCTTCTTCTTCTGTTTCTTCTAGAAGTGGATCCTAGCAACCCACTAGAAAACCCTCTCTTACTGAAAGGAAGCAGCCTCCACTCAGAAACATGGCCATGTGGCATGCCAAACATAAATCGTTTTATCAAAACCAAAGGGGAGATCTCACTCTTTCTGCAAAATTTGTTACAGAATAGTATATTTTAATTAATGATTCCAGGTTACTAAATATCTTCATAAATCCATGGGTTTGACCAGTACTCAGCAACTAAGAATATATTTTATTGACAGTTCCCCTTTTTTGCTATCTACTTTCTTGGCCATTATATCTTTTTGTATAACTTAACATTCCATCTCAACTGACATGTTGGTGCAAACAAATTTGCACCAACACAGTTTGCACCAACACGTGGACTGACCCACGTGAAGTATCCTGTAACATACAAGTATGCTATTGAATTTTGACATGAAACATTGAGACACAATATGTTTTTTCCTGACATTTTCAAGGAAATATAAACTGAGTTATACCTAGCATGTGAATGTACATATGCTAGAGAATGGGAATTCAGTAGGGCAGGCAGGAGGCAGGAGAGATAATCTATGGGATCAAGATGGGAGTCAAATGTCTAAGTTTTGCCAGAGCAAATACTTCCTTACACAAAAGTAGTGTAGAGGTTCTTCATGCCAGATGACTTAGGGTTATGATACTTGTAATCGCCACACACGGTGTTTAATATTCTGCATCTGTTTTCCCGTTTGGATCTCACCACATCCGCATGAGCTGGTTGCTAATATCAGCTCCATTGTACTGATGACAGTAGAGAAGTTGACACCAAATGATGGAGGAAAAAGCTGTCTGACAGTGCAAGCTTGTAGCACAGTGCTTCTCCTTACACCGTGCTGAGGTTGTACAATTTGTAGGAGATCGGGCTAACCGCTGTCTGGGCTATCCAAATGGGGCTGTGAAAAGATGGAAGAGAAGTAGGTTTGGGAAACAAGAGGAATTTTAAACATCTTAAGTTTGCAATTCTTATTTGACCTCTAAGTGGAGAGACCAAGAAAGCCATTGGAAAGATGAGTCTGGGTTCTGGACAAATGTCCAAGCTGGTGACACCGGAATGTAGATGGTATTTAAAGCCAGGCAATTGGATGAGTTCACCAAGGGAGTGGGCATGGACAGGAAAGAGAAGAGCCCTAAGACCCAAGTACGAATGATGAGACTAAAACCACAAAAGAAACAGAGAAAGGGCATTCAGAGGGATAAGAGGAAAACCAGAGGAGTGTGGCAATGGGGAGTCATGTGGAGGAGGGGCTTCACGGTGGAGAGATCTGTGCTGTTGAGGGAGAGGAGTCCCGAGTTGGCCATTGGGGTTAGAAATGTAGGGTCATCGGTGCTCTTGACATGGTGGCTTGCAGAGCAGTGGGGCAGAAGGCTGAGTGGAATAAGTAAACGGAGAATGGAAGGAGAAGAACTGGAGGCAGCTGGTATTTACAACTCTTTCAAGTTATCTTGCTGTAAAGAAAGGAGAGAAATGGAAACCCAGAAAAGTGTAGCTGAGAGAGATAGCAGCATTCTTTTATGCTAATTGGAATAATCAAGGTGGGTTTGGGGAGTGGAGATGAAAGAGAGACAATTGCTGGTGCCATGACCTTAAGCAGTACCAGGAGGTGGGGAAATGTCGTGCCCACGTGGAAAAATGGGCTGTGGACAGGGCTGTGGGCTGTGGGTCCTCATTAACAGAGGGAAGGTGGGCAGGTAGATGTGGTGGTAGGAGCTCTGTGAAATGGGAACCATGTCATGAGCTGACAGTGAGAGTAGAGAAGGGAGTGTTGGTCATTTAAAGAGAGAAGAGAGGCCTGAAATAGCCGTCTAAGAAAGGGAGAGATGGTGGGCTAGGAAATGTGGATGATTGCCAGAAGGCATTAATGATCTTAAATTTAAAGTGAGACTCATCAGCCTGGCCAGCATTTTCCTCCAGCCTGGGTCAGCTGCAAGGAGGCAGCGTGGAGTACATGGAAGCTTGGCATGAACCAAAGGGCTGTGGCTTAACCAGCAAAGACCACAAAAGCTATAGATAGACCAAGGAATGGAGGCGGATGCAAATATAGCAATTGCTGGAGGAACTTAGGAGGGTAAGGAGGGCACAGGGACAGGAGAGTGAAGTACAGTGAAGCAGTGATGGTTTCAGTGAATTCTGGGTCATGGGTTCTGAAAGTTGTAGGTAGTTGTGGTACCAGAATGGGAAAGACAGAAGATGGCCAGGAGAAAGAGGTGTTTGATCCCAGGTGTTGTGGTTCAATGGTTTGATCCCAGGTGGTGTGGTTCAATGGTTGAGTGTCAAACCATATATCAAGAGGTCACTGGTTCAATTCCCAGTCAAAAGGCATATCCAGTTTGGGGCTGGATTCCCCAGTGGGGGTCGTGCAGGAGGCAGTCAATCTATGTTGATGTTTCTCTCTCATTGATGTTTCTCTCTCTCTCTCTCTCTCTCTCTCTCTCTCTCTCTCTCTCTCTCTCTCAAATAACTAAAAACATATTTTTAAGAAAACTAAAGTGGGATATTTGACAAGCTCTAGGCAGCAGGGATGTCCAACAAACTTTCCACAGTGCTAGAGATGTCTTGTATCACGGGCCATCTGTGGACATTAAGCACTTGAAATGTGGCTAGTGCAACTGAGGAGCTCAGCTTCTGACTTTATCTGATTTACATGTAAATGTGGGTGGCCACGTGTGGCTAGTGGGTATATCACAGGTCCAGGGTGTGACATGGGAGTGAGAGGCTGAAATAGGGTGGAAGACAAGGACTCAAGAGACCTGGTGTTGGGCAGATCGTCCTGGTGGATAGATAAATCACTTAAAGGACAACAAGGGTGCCTGCCGACGATAGGAACAGCAGTCGGGGCGGGGGGGGGGGGGGGGGGGGGGGGGGCGCTTAGGGCCCTGAGGAATGCCAGGAGGGCCCAGGGTTGACTGCAAGGAAGGTAGAATGTGACTGTCGGGAGACTTTAGCTTCCAAGCCCAGTGCTTTTCGGGAGGAATAAAGAAAAGGGAATGGAAGCAGCAGTGAGGAGCAAGGGGGACTTCTTCCTGGCTCCAGGCACAGTGACTTGAAGAGATGCGCCACTCCCTGCCCCTGAGGTCCTAGTGTGACAAAAGGGTCAAGTGTCAGAACTGTGATGCCAGCACCAAATGGTACAGGGCTGGAGTCCAGGGCAGGAGAGGCATCTGCTATGACTATCTTTGTTACTCCCGTGCTTATGACTTTTTCAAGTGATTTTCCCACAACCAGCAGGTCCTGACTCCCCCTCTTCTTGATTATGATGGCCTTAAGCTCCATAATATAAAACATGGACTTTGTGGGCCCGGAGAGAATCCGTGCCCCATTCAGGGGCCCTCCCGCTGCTGCTCGCTGACGCCCTGTGTGTTGCAGGTGTTTGGCGTTCACCTGAACAAGTGGCAGCTGGACAAGAAGCTGGGCTGTGGATGCCTCTTCCTGTACGGCGTGTTCCTGTGCTTCTCCATCATGACAGAGTTCAACGTGTTCACCTTCGTGAACTTGCCCATGTGCGGGGAACACTGATCTGCCGGGCCGCCCACCGAGGCTCCGTTCCTTCTCTTCTGTGCAATACAAGACCCGGCCGCACCACCCGAGTCACACGGGCCCCCAGGGCCGGGCTTCCGTCTCTCCCTTGCTGTTCACAGGCCTCCGCTCCTGCCTCAGTGGCCCAGGCGCCCTCTGCCCCCTCCCTCGCCCCTCCTCCTCCTGGGGTCCTACCTGCCACCCAGCCTTTCTTGCCCACCCCTTTTTGCCTCCTCAGTGTGAAGACTTTTCAATATCCATGTGAATTTTCAAGCTCCATTTTTGACAGTGACTGAGATTCTAGAAAAACTGGCTGCTAACTGGCCCAAGCCAGGCAAATCTTATTACAATCCCTCCTCCTTTTTTTTTTTTTTTAAGTTATTGGATGGAAGACTAACCTAATTTATGGCCCGAGACTGTCAAAGAGATAGCAAGGAGAGGGTACATTGGTTATGGGATTTTGTTATATTTTCAGGTGGTTCCTAGGTTCTGGGTTTGGGGGATTGTTTCTCTTCGGAGGGGCTCTCCCTTCTGCCCCTTTTCTTCCAGAGATCGGGCGAGAGCTTCTCTTGCATCCTCTGTCCCTGGGCTCTGGATTAGTACAGAAGCCACAGGTTTGTCCCCGCTGTGTCTTGGGGTCAAATCCCAAGCATGCTAGAGCAGGTGTGGCCTAGTGCCTATTAGAATGAACCATTGAGCCAGGCCACCGGGAAAGACGCATGACATTTCATGCCCAAGGATGCCCCCACGGGCCCATAGGCATTCCCTGGGGAGCACAGGGTTTTCTGAGGAAGAAGGCAGCTTCCTACCTGTCCATCATGACCTTCCCTTTCTCACTAGGTTCTCTCTAGTCTTTTAAGCAATAGTTCTAGCCTGCCTCAGGCCTTTGGAGAGGGTCCCTGGTTGAACATCTATCCATGAGGTACCAGGCAGTCAGCAGCAGAAGCTTCCCAAAACCTGTGAGTCCCTGAGATGCGTTGTCATTGCTTGGCATTCTGGAGTGACAGCGAGTGACCCAGAGGCCACCCACTGCTTTTTGTGCAGGAATTACAGACACTGGTTTCTTGGAGGATGGAGAGAAGCGCACTTTGCACAGACATCGTCAATCAAGCCCCGATTTGCCACTTGGTACTGAGTACACTGGACCCTGCAAGCTGGCTCTTGGGCAGCGTCCTTCCTCCAGGACACCGTGGCCAAGCTGCCCGGCTCCACCCGTCCCCTCCTGGAAGGGATGGCAAGGGAAGGAGAAAACAGAACTGACATCTTTGAAGCCACAGAATGTGCTAAATGCAGACAAGCTCCAGGGCATAAGTTATTGTGAACATTGTTGCCAATCACTGCTCAACAGCCCTGCTAGGTTTCCGTATGATGCTGAATTATTACGCAGACTAATTCCACCAGTTGAGACCCACCCATGCTTGTTACACCTGTATTTATTGAAACTGTGGACTCTTGCCCGTGCTTCCTCCTATATTTATGTTAAGCACTGATCACTTATAATCCATTCGGTATGGTTTTCTCTGTTCCTTGTACTACACATTCTGGTCTGAATTGTAAAAATAACCTGCAACAAATTGGTTGAACGTCTCTTGTCGAGGGTGCGAAAGGAGGTGAGCCTTAGCCAATGGGGCACCTGCCTGATGGAGGCCCGGGAGAGGAGATCACCAATTTGGGCTCTCAGAGCTAAGACACACTTCATGATTCTGTTGCACACTTTGCACTGGTTTATGGCAATTGTTTTCTTGGACAGATAGTGTAAAATAAACTTCTCTGTTCTGTATCCTTTCTTGAGCAGTGCGCGTTCCTTTCTCCTTAGATTCTGGCATGCTGCCTGTTTGGCACTGAGGAGTGTGCAATGCCAGGGAAAAAGAATGCAATCCCCGAGGGATCAGGTATTTTGCACTTCTGTGTCTGAGTGGACTCACCTGGGAAGCTGGTAAAATGTCTGGTGGATTACAAGTACAAAGTGGCAAATCATGAGTCCCTCTAAATCCGGGAGGGTCTTCTAACCTATTGTCCTATAGATCATGTGTGACATTACATTAGAGATCTTTCTTTCAGCTGAACCTGAGAGGAAGAGCATGCCAGTACTGATGACCTTCAGCAGGGCTCAAGGTCACCATCCTGTCCGAAAACCCAGTTCTTGTCCTGCATGACTCTCAAGAAAGAATTACCCAGATCTGAAAGTGGACCAAGGTGAGGGAACAAGTCAGGTTTCCATCTGAAAGTCAACATTAATGTCTTTATAGGAACTAGAAGAAAAATATCTACTAATTCACAGTGCCAACTTTTATTTAACTGTATCTAACAGTGTATTCCAAGGTGATGGAAAAGCACGAGGTGCTTAACTTTGTTTTGAGTGTTTACATTTAACATAGTTTTACTAGCTTATTTGTGCATTTTGTACATATACTCTGGATATTGGACAGGGAATTTTCATTATGCTGATCAGTGCTTACAAAGCATAAGATCCTTTTACATGAAATATGTTGTTAGACTAGTCTTAATGAGTTTTACTTAATTAGTTTTGCTCTGAGAAAAGACATCTGATCCAATGCTTGATCTTTTTAAACACATTTGCTGTGAAATCTTAGGAAACCATAATTTTATGCAAGATTTCTCAGAGACACAATTGTGGGGTGAGGTAGAGTTTCCGTGTTTCCTGCACAATGAAAGTTTCCTTTCTGCAATGAGCATTTGGCCTGTTTCTGCTCTGATCTCAGCCATGCGTGATTTGTGTCTTGAATTGTCCGTTGAGAACGTGATTCTAAATGAGCTGGCCATCCAGTGATGCAGAACTGCTGGCGTTGCTGTTTGCACTGCTCCCACATGCTGGGATTCATTTGGGAGGGCTTCAGATGGGTGTGAGGGAAGAACTTCTTGTCAGTATCCCAAACCTGGCAGTAGGGCCAGAGAAACTCTCAGCAATTTTCTGGGATGTGCTAGTTTCAGTAAGTTCCCCAGCCTGTGATCTCATGCACAAGGGGGATATCTCTGTGGCTCTAAACAAGGGAAGGCACACACAGGAGCTTGTACCTCCTCCTGAACACATCCTAGTGGACCCCACACTAGGGAGGTACCTCCAGAGCGTTTTCTTTTTCTGGGAATTGTGTTCTCAATCTGGCCCAGGCCTGCTGAGGGTCACTGTCCACACGCCTGCCCTTCAGGTGGCCTTGGATACACTGAGAGGCCACGTGGGACGTTTTCAGAGAGCTTTTCCCCATCCCAAAGGAATGTGGAGAGTACACTTCTTATGGAGAGACCACTTTTATAGATACACTAGAGGCCCAGTGCCTGAATTTGTGCACGGGGAGGGAGCAGCCGGCCAGCCCCGATTGGGGTTGGGCGTGCCTATCGTTGGCCTGACTGGCAGGGGGAGGGGCTGTGGGTGATTGGCTGGCTGGTCCTACCCCCTGGTTGAACTTCTGGTCAAGGGGACAATTTGTATATTGGCCTTTTATTATATAGGATGTTTTGCATTTATCTACAAAAAGATCTGAAGGCTGCTCATTGTTTTCCTGAGTCTGTTGCTTCAGAACTTGTTTGCAGTCAGAAATCTACAGGGGATTTGAGACCTTCTGTATCCCAAGCAGCACATTTGAACTCATTTTAAACATCCAGGCTTCAAAGAAAAACTTAAAAGGGAAAAAAAAAAAAAAAAAAAAAAAAGGAGGACAGGTGATACTATAGTAAAGTCCAGTTTTCACTTGTGGCATATAAGATAGGAATAACATCCAACTTGCAATACATGTAATTAAATGTAGAACTTTACCTAATTGTTCATGAAAATATTCAAGATAGGATAATTATCACATTAGCAGATCATTATCCAAGCATTTTGACCTATTTCTATCAATTATTTTGAAGTAGATGGGATATTTCCATTTTGGATTTTGAATAGTCTCATACTAATTATCAATCTCATTTACTTTGATATTTTCTACAATAGCTGCTACACACACACACACACACACACACACACACACCACTTATCTGACACCAAAATTCTGTGTGAAAACAGTCCAATTGGTCTTTTCAATTTTTCCAAATATCCAGCTGACTATTATGATACATCTTCAGGAATGGGGTGGATTTAGCCAACTTTTCTTTGATAAATAAAAATTCACGTGACAATTGCATCATCATCCAGAGATGTGGGCGTCTGCAAAGATGCCAAGAAAATTAGGAACTGAGGCCATGGACAAGCGGAGAGATTAGCAATGTGCACAATATAAATTATGCCATATGCTGGAATTGATTTCACATTAAACATCATGCTTAGTTTCAAAGCACAGGGCGGAGTAATAACCCTCCCTCCTCAAAAAATCTTTCAGATAGCTTACTGTTGCACCCAGGACAGTGATTTTCTTAATAAGTTATACCCAGTAGTCCCATTACCTTAAGAAATTTTTATTGAACCTCAATTTAGCCACACCCAAGTGGGGGAGATTTGAAATACAGTGACTAGTCATAGTTGATACTCATTTTGTTTTTGGTCTTCGTTTTTTGCAACAGGTGGGAGAGGGAGGGAGATTTAAGACTACAGTTTTGACAAATGTGCCATTTAATGCATAAATTATTAACATAAATGCATTCACATTTACATTATTAACATTTTTTCTTTATATAACTCTCAACTTATCCTGTTTACTCAAAGCTGAGTTTGGCAACGTCATATTTTCTGGTTTGTTGGAATAATTTATCCAGTGAGTGGTTCCAGAAAAGTGCATACAAAACCTGGAATGAAACATAAATAGGCATCTCCCAATCCTTGCGCTTGCTTTGAGGGTACTTCGAAGCCGTGGCTATGTGGTGGCTAAATTGCAATGTGCGAAAGTGCTTCCCATATACATAAATTTAACATTTTTCAATTCTTACTCGGTTTCATATTTTTCTCTATGATGCATAAGTCAGATGTTTTATCTCTCACAATACTGAGGAAGGTGTGTTCCTGGAATGCTAGATATTCATTAAGCCTGTGCTCTGGTCAGTCCGCATTATGCTAACTACGAATGGGTTTGAACCAAATGCACACTGTTTTATTTTAAGATTTTATTTTGTCTACTGGTTAAAGGCTTCTAAAATACTAGTTTCAATATATATAAAAGTTTATTGCCATATCGGGTAGAATTGTTTCCTCCAGTTGCTTATATTATGTTCGGTATCATATATAAGAATACATGTACTCATCTTACTGTCAAAATCAGTGTTTCCCAATTTAAGCATCACCTGGGGAATGTGTTACATACAGATTTCTAGGTCCCATCCCTGAGTTTCTGGGTGGGTCTAAGGAGAGAGCCAAGAACTGGCACTTCTCACCAACACCCAGATGCTACTGATACTGAGACCCACTCTGAGAACCACCCGTGTAAAGAATGTCCTTTGCCCATAAAGCCACATTTTTTCCTACACCAGCCTCTACCAATATCTTTGACTTACAGCTTATTTTTCCTTTCTACAACTGCTGAGATCTACAACTGTTGAAAGTAGGAAAAGACGTGTGGTCAACTCTTCATAATTTACATTCTCTATCATCCTGCACTTCTACTCCGAGTCAGAAAACAACTTTTAAATTAAAGCAGAACCAGATCAAGATAAATAATTTAAGATGAAGATGCAGGAAAGCCAAGGTTCTCGGTGGAATTATTAGCTCAGTAGAGACGGGAGCAGACAACCACCAGTTTTATTCAAGGTGCAAAAGATTTAGTTCTAAACTACAGTAAGAGAAAGTAACAGTGACATAGAAGACATGAATTGTATATGAACTCCTATTTTCACGTGACAATCATGCATAGCTAACTTCCTAATCGAAAAATATACTTTTGATGCAAATCCATCTGACAAAGTTGCCATGGCTCAGGACAAAAATAAAATGATTTCACCTTTAATTTATCTTGTTGAGCTGGGCTTCATAGCCCAAGTGCTCCAGACAATCACACATGCCCGCACCATGGTCTTGTTAAGAATGAGAGCAGGACATCCCTCGCCAGTCAGTCTTCCTGGGGCTCAGAAAACCCCATTGACAGGTGGTGGCCCTGGTCAGCTCTCCTGTGGAAAATGATTGCTAACCCCAGGTGAAAGTCAGGCAAGGGCATGATGCGTGCCTACGGCTAAACCCTAACTGTGGCTGGGGCCTTGGTTTATCCACAAGAACCTCAAGGGACACAATATGCTGCAAAATTAGATGGTAAACGCCACATTTTTATATCCACTAAAATTTTTGCTCTGAGTCAGAAGTGGAATTAGATATTCGTGTGCAGAATCCATCAGGGAGGCAGGAAAACAAGGAGGAAGGGAAATGCTTCTTTTCCAGAAACAGAACATTGTATGCTTGGCCTATGCCAGTGTAGGGTGGTCCACCCCAAGGCAATGAGATGGAATACATCCGTCCCTGAACCTCTCCCAGGCTTTCTTCCTAGAAGCCTTTTCTCTAACCAAGAAGGTGCTCTCAGGTAGCAATGCTAATGTGAGACCCACTGTATCATGTTACAATAGGATGCAAGGTATTTCTTCCTGCTTCCAAGACCCCTCAGTGATGGAGGAAGGGAGAGGGAGAGAGAGATAGAAACATCAACATCAATGATGAAAGAGAATCATTGATTGGCTGCCTGCCTCCTGCAAATGCAACCCTGCGCATGTGCCCTTGACCAGAATCGAACCTGGGACCCTTTGGTCCACAGGCCGATGCTCTATCCACTGAGCCAAACCACCTAGGGCAGAGGCAGCCTCTTTGCACTTTTAAGTAGAGTTTATCTGTTGCCTAAATGTTAACTGAAGGCC